AAAAAAACAGACGTACGGTCCATGTTTCCCATTGATCCAATTAATTGTTTTACATTTGACACATTTCTACTAAAGATCTGTTGTTTTGCCAAGTTGGACATGAATAGGAAAAAACGGAGTACTGCGACAATGCCGTTTATCTTGAACCGTGAATACAAGTTTTTTATTCCTGAAAAAAAAAACGACTGTGTTGCAAATTCTGTTTAACTGTTTGAAATGTTACAATGTCACACAAGGCCATTCCTGTACAATTTTTCGGTCGGTCGGGCAAGAAAAAATGGCATTGGGTTTGTGGAGTGATTTTTGGTTCTGTTTTGAGGATATTTTCCCTGGTATTTTAATTCAAGCTTTCTCTGTGATCTATTTTCCGTGGTTTCTGATGTAAATTTACTACTTTTAACATCATGCAAGAAACTGGACAGTGTATTCCAAGTCTGTCTTTTGCGGAATTTTTTTTTCTTTAAATATACATATAGTGTACACTCTTTTTTTCTTTTTTTGAAAGTTCGCATAATCGGTCTGCTTCGATCTGATCGCTGTTCGTGAATAAAAGCTCCCCTTTTCGTGCAAAATAGGAAATAATCGCTGAAGCCATTGTGAAGAAAGTTTTTTGCGCAGACACCTCTGATTTCTGTTTGAAATGCACACTGGGGATAAAGATGTGTACAAAATTAGTTTCGCCACATGACTTTCTATTGTCCCAGTGCCGCCATCAACTGCGCCGATAAGTGTTGGTTTTGCGTTCCTTTTGTGTTTCAGGGAGTTTCAAATTTCTGCAGTGATACACTTTTTAAGCTGCAGAACATAACGTTGGTAATTAAAGGAGTTAATAATTGCGCCGCGACTCGATAGCATCAACCATCTAAATTATCACCCTAGCTACGCACCTACGTACCTAGGTCACGATTTCCGGTGTCGGTGATTATCGATGACTTGTATTTTAAAATTTCATGGTGAGTTTCTGCTTCATTGAAAGCACGACAATTCGGTCGCATACAGTGGGATAGCTTAAAAAAACAAGAATCGGTGAAATATCCATATTCAAACTACCCCACTGAACAGTCAAGCAAGGCAGAGAAGAGGCAGACGTGACTGAAATAAAAGCCGCGAAGCAGGGGCACCCAACCACGGTTACCTCTTAAATGCATTAAAAACACTTTTTCGCTTATCCAGAGTACTTTCAAATCTCTAGAAATGCATTCTAAGCGGCGCTATAAAAGTTGTATCTGTTCGGTCGTCCTAGGGCGACTTGAATCTTTTCGCCTAAGCTCTACGACATTTTTTTTAGGCATAACCTGTCTACAGTACCTTCACAGGAAGGGAGAAGGTTCTTTACTTTTAAGCGAATTCGAATGTCCACGTACTATTTTAATTAAACAACAACAACAATGGCACGCTCACCATCGACATGGAACCCTCGACCCTCGACAAAAAGATAGACTCAAATCTAGCATATATGTGAAGTGACAGTCGTTTGAAGTATGCAAATTTTCAGTTCTTTTGTTTTGACCGCTTTTTGCCAACCATAAATATTGCGTAACAGTGATCGTGACGTCACGTGCACTGATATCTTCGCTATTGGCGAACCGATATTAACAC